AAAAATTTAAAGAGACAAGATATGCCGGAAAAGTAAGAATACAGGGGGAAATTAATTTAATATTGAGTAAATGCGTATCTCGGTAATTTGGCGAGATATCGTCAAGCTGGCAACGGTTTTGGCGACTAATTTTCGACACCAAATTTGGCGAGAAATCGTCGAGAGTCGCCAAACCTGGTGACCGTTTAGCCACATTTGGGTCCGGTTCCCGTATCATCCTAATAAGTGTTGTAAGCTCTAACAGTAATTCGACATTCATATTGCTTTCCAGTAATTACAAGAAGCAGAAAGTACTAGAAATATCTTGACAGCTAATGTCGGTGACAGCATCTTCTTTCAGTTGTTGTTAGCTGTTAGCTCAGCGTGAGTTCTAAGTATAGCTTCTCTCTGTAGATGCGCCTTGCAATCTATTGTCTTGAATATTCAGAGTAGTTTGAAGGTGTAACTATTGACTATTTTTTGGAACGTTCCAGATCTCTGAAGTGTTTATTTTGATAGAATAAATTTTATTAACCTATCATCGGAGCTATGTGCATTAAGTCTATTGCGAACCCGTACAATATGATGTAATTTACAAGCACATTCCAAGAATTGCACTTGATCCTCTGTAACTCCAAAGCTGTGTTGTATGCCATTACGAGGTATGAATACCTTTACTCCTCATTAAGTGTTTAATACCTCTTTCGTTAATTAGAACATCGTTGTACAACAGATTTCTTCAAAAGAAATCAATATTTTCAAACTTTTAATTTTATTAACTGATTAATTTACTCAGTTAATATTAGAATAATTTAATTTTAACAAACAAACTGAAAATAATAAATGATTTTCAATTAGGAGCAATTCTAAAAATCCTAGCAAAGTCAGAAAGATATTCTTGTGAAATCTTGTACGAATAATTCTCTGTGTCCCTAGCTCTGTGTTGTAAATTATACAGCTGCTCACTCGCTCTGTTATTCATGACTTCAACAGATAAAAATCTTTTCCACAAAACTTGGGCGCCATCCACCATCTTTTGAAAAGCAGTGATGACTGGCTTTATTCTGTAGAACTATTCTGTTTTAGTTATTTAGTATTTTCTTTCTTTTTCCTACCAAGAAAAAATTTCATCGTCAGCCATCCAAAAAATGTTCTCCTCCTTAGTCAGATGCCACGGGAGAAGCATTAAGTCAAAGGCACTCTTAAAAAAATGCGGTTTCATTGCAAAACCTTTCCTAAAAGATTTATTTGAAAGAAAAGGACAGAGTAACGTCAGGTTTGATTTCAATGACATTTAGTAAATCCGAAACGTTCAAAATTTGGGAAGGAGGGATTTTGGCACTTTATTATTTTAAAAATGATTTCACCTACTAAGAAATCTATTAAGTCTTCTTCTTAAGTCTTTTTATATATCTGTTGACAAAAATATTAAAAGTTAAGACTACATTTTTTGCGCCGAGTCTTAGAGAATAATTTTAGAATATTACGCTTTCAATAGATTTTCCTAAATGAATTCTTTTTACGAAAATTTTGGCGTTTTCTATGTACTGTTATTAGTCCGGATTATACAGTCAAGCCTGCTAAGATCGATATAGGAGTAAATACTTCAACTGTGCTTTGCTGTGAATTGGTTCATCCTCAGTCTTTCTCTGCCCCTGCCCAACAGTCACACAATTTGCAGGTACCACCATCCTTGCCAACTGTCTCACAACCGACTTTTGAGGAGGTTCTACGAAATATCAGCAAACCAAGCGTAGTGATCAAATGAAAGTCTAAAAAACCTACTGAAGAACTCAGAAGAGAACTACAAAATAAAGTTCCCTTGGCAGAAATACCAATTACTGTCCAAAAAATTCAGCCAACTCCACAAGGAGGATTGGAGGTATTTTGCCAAACTTCAGACGAGATTAATCAACTACAAGAACATCTGCAAAAAGCAGACATAGACATAGAGGTCAAAAAACGACAACGACGACGCCCTAGGATAGCTATACATAATGTCCCAGACAGCACAAAACCAGAAGAGCTCATCTCAGAACTTAGTTCAACATCAGGAACATCGGCCCACCAATACAAGCCACTCTTCCGATTACGAGAAAGACGTCCTAAAAGAGTTAAGTAGGTCATTGAATGCACGACCGAAGGTTTCGCAGCAGCCATTAATACCAGGCGTACTTTTACAGCCTGGCAATCTCACGGAATCACAGAATTCTTTGGTGTTAAGAGATGCTATCGCTGCCAAAAATTTGGGCACAGCCAAGACATGTGCAAATCCGATAAGATCTTCTGTGGCTTCTGTTCCGGCTCACATGCAACTAAAGAATGTACAGCAGAACATCCCTTCTGTATCAATTGTGGAGATTCAAACTGCAGATTCGGAACACGACTCAACTTCCAACATCCAGCCTATGCAACCGAATATGCTATCTACCAACGGGCAGTCGATACAATCCGACGAACAACAGAATATTAGAGAAATAAGAGAGATATCTTTCTGTAATACTTCTGCAAGTCCGCAAACAACAAACCCCATTACCTCCTTGAATGTCATTAACTTAAAATCATCAGCTCAACACACACCCATAAAATGTTTGCAAATAAATCTTCAGCGAGCGCGTGCCGCAATGTCCCAAACGGCACACTACGCTACAGAAGAAGAAATGATTGATATAATAATTGGTCAAGAACCATACCTACAGACACGGCAAAATTGTGGGTTTTCCGCTTCAATGGACAACATTTCAAAAAGAGGATTCAACACAACCGCCTCGAGCTTTTATTACAATCTGCAACCAGGCATGGACACCGATTGTGCTTGCTTTAGAGAGGGATTTTGTGGCTGTCTTACTGGAAATACTTAATCAGACAATAGCGTTAGTATCCATCTACTCCCCTCCTACAGAAGAAGCGGACCATACCATAATACGCATCCAACAGCTAATGCAACCTCATCATATAGCAAAAATGCTCCTTGCTGGCGATTATAATGCCCATAGCACCACATGGGGCTACGCTGATACGACACCTAAAGGGCGTCATTTCGAAGACTTTTTCTCAAGCAACAACTTTGTAATTCATAATCAAATAGATGCGCCGCCGACCTTTGATAGGCTCCACTCTCGTGGTTGGCCAGACCTCACAGTTACTAGTCATCAAATGGCAAATTTAATACGGGATTGGACAGTAGTTGAGGGACAGAACCTATCGGATCATAACTATATGCGCTATAGTATAGCAAGCAGCATTGCAACTAACATCATCCAAAGATACAACCTACCAGGGCGGAAGGTCCGCACTTTCACTTCTATTGTTAGTAACAGACTAACACCTTTCGTTAATTCAATAAGACATGCTGTAAGTAGAGAGACCCTCCAAAATATTACGAAAGACATTCTATTAACAATACAACAAGTTGTGATGAACATCTCCCAAAGCGTACTACAAAAAGAATTACCGCACTCCATTGGTGGAATGGTACACTGGGTACTCAACAGCAAAAATGTCGTGCTCTGCGCCGACGCCTCAAACAAGAACGTAGGCAGCAACTAAAATCCACAACACTAATGATCTACCAACAAGAGCGAGCGTATTACAAACGCATGGTCTTAGATGCAAAAATTAGCAGCTGGAGAAAGTTTTGTACAGAAATAACCACCACCTATGGACTCCACCACAGGATTGCGGCAGGAAAACTTTTTAAACCAGCCACCTTTATTGCCAACATATATTGCCAACACCCAATAGTACTGGCCAATATACAGAAGATACAATAAAGGCAATCATGTCAGCAGTCTTCACCACAGACAATCCGCAAGAAGACACATTAGAACAGACCACAATCAGGAACCAGCCCTCAGAAATTGCTACATCAAATGATCCTTACTTCACAATCAGGGAGATTCAGCAAGTGCTGCGCCAGCTTCCCCAGCGCAGAGCACCAGGACCGGATGGTATTGACTACCGAATTATTAAAGCAATTATAAGCACTAATGTAACTCTATTTCAATCACTCTTCAATAAGCTCCTGCAAACGGGGACATTCCCTAACAGCTTCAAAATTGGGCAAGTGGTCTTATTTTTGAAAAAGAATAAAGATCCAACGTCTCCAGAGTCGTACCGTCCAATATGTCTACTTTCAGCTTTGGGGAAGGTTTATGAAAAGCTGATCATGACAAGATTGCGGCATCATCTATATGTTACGAAATACTTAAGCCCAATACAATATGGGTTTAGTCCAGGACAGTCTACTTTGCATGCGCTTACAGAAGTTAAGAATCAAATCCTAGAAAATAGGTCTGCTGGCTATCACACAGCGTTTATTTCCATCGACTTAAAAAGCGCTTTTGACACGCTGTGGTGGCCAGCGGTTCTTCAAGCCCTGCGCCTAAGTAAATGCCCAAGAAATATCTATCTTACTTTGGAACACTACCTTTCTGACCGATTGCTAATAGTACCCCATAATAGTGGTATGGTAGTGCAAAATCAAAATCAAGGATGCCCGCAAGGCTCGTGTGCTGGGCCGTTTCTTTGGAATATAACATTCAATGGTATATTAACCAATGCGTGGCCAGAGCACACGCGCATCATTGCGTATGCCGATGATACTGCACTCATCGTTCGGGGTAGAACAAGAGAACAACTTCAGACCAACGCCCAAGAATCCTGCTCGCTATTTCATCAGAGATGTGCAGAAATTAAACTCAAGATATCTGAAGCAAAGTCACAAATACTTCTAGTTCCCAAAAAGGGAGGTACGCTCGCAAGACAACCAAAAATAACTTTGAATAATCATCGACTTCGAATTGTTAAAGAACTGAAATACCTAGGAATAGTATTTGATATCAAACTAAATTGGATACCACATATTATGGAACTGAAGAAGAAGACGCTGGGAATAGCTCAGCAACTTCAAGTTTATGAAAGGTCACGAATGGGGCCTTAACCCGTACATACAGAAGGTACTGTATAAAACAGTAATTGAAAAAATTGTTACATACGGGGCGGCAGTTTGGTCATTACCTATGCAAGGTCGCAAGATAAAACATCTCTTAAGCATACAACGACCGTTCTTACTGAATATTACCAAGGCATTTCGTACTTCCCCAACTAAAGCACTATGTGTATTGACCGGTCTGCCACCGTTGCATCTTAGTGTGGAAAAAGAAGCGACTTATCAAACAGTCGCCCAATTAGGCCAACCAGCAACCCTCCATGAGGATAATTATTTCCCAGCGGAATATGAGAAGAAGTTGATACGGCTATGTGATCATCCAGCGAAACAGGGAAAAGGGGTGAACATTAATCTCAAGCAAAATACCAACATAACGGATGCTGATTTAGTATATTATACAGATGGCTCCCAAATAGATGATAACACAGGCTGTGCCTACATAGCCCTGCGAAACCTGGACACGCTAACACTTTGGAAAGGTCACCTGGACACCAATAATAGTGTGTTCCAGAGTGAGGTGTTAGCAATTGACCGGGCACTAACCCACATCATACAGGAGCAACATAATGGAAGCTTCATATTGACAGATAGCTTATCGTCTCTGCATGCACTTTTAAATCCAGTGCACTGTTCCCCGCTCATAGCAGACATACAGTCGAAATTACATGACAACAGTCATTTAAACGTAAAGCTGCAATGGATAAAGGCCCATGCTGGCCAAACAGGAAACGAGCTGGCGGATCAGCTAGCCAAAGAAGCGGCGCAAAACATAAATGCTGAACAAATTAAGATACCTTGGCCAATTTCCTGGCTAAAGAAAAATCTTACGCAAAAAATCAAATCCCTGTGGCAGGAAGAGTGGAACTCTGACGACACAGGACGTCGTGTTTATTATCATATTCCCACAGTAACTTATGATCGCCTCATAATACATGCTCAACTTGTACGGTATATAACGGGACATGGTCCTTTTCCTGTATATTTTGAAAGGTTTGGCATTACAAATACGGCACAGTGCATTTGCGGTGAATTGGGCACACCCGAACATTATGTAGCTAACTGCCCACTAACAACTGATTTGCACCTGCCGATCCCGCCAACGAATGAGCAAGCATTTAGCAGGTTCATGATTAATAACAAGCATGCAGTACGAAAGATTAACAAAATTGTTAATAAACTTATGGACCTCGGCACTGACCTGTGTCAAATCTAATTTTATATATGTCTCTAAAGTATATCATAAAATAAACTATCTTGAACTGTGCTAAAACTAATGCAAATAAAAACTAAGAATTATCCCTTTATGTGGACTCCCTCGGCTACATTTATACTGAATAATTATTTTAGTACAGTAATCGTTTTGTATCAGAGAAATTGTGTATAGTATTAATTTATTGTATCATAGTTTTGAAACATTGTAATAGAGTAATCGTATTGATGATCGTATAGATGATAAGGTTATTACTTTTAATGTTTACCTAACTAGTATAATTGATAGCGGAATAGTTCTGTTACTAAATAGAGTAATCATATTGAATAAGAGTAATTGTATTGTTTTATAGCATCATTGTGTATGGTATGACTAATCATTGTACTTAGTAAATGCATAGAATCACTGTACTAAATTATTATTTTAGTAATCACAAAGAATCATTCTATTGAATCACTGAATTGTAATCAACAAATAAAGTGCAAGTTATACTGTACTGTACATATTTAACAATTGATTTCTTTACAAGTAAATGTAACATCAATACTATAATAGGTACTTAAATGACTATACCCATATATTTAAATGTTATTAATAACATATATAGTATTACTACAAATCTGAATATATATATTAAATCACTGAATACTTGTATCGTAATCTTTATACTTCAGTCACTGCATATAATTATTGCTTTGGTACATGGTCTAAAGAAGCAGTATAATATCACTGTATTGCATCATTACATTATTTATAATATTCAGTGTGCAAGGTAAAACTGTACAGTACATAATTTATAATTAACTGCTTTCAAGTAACATGTAATATCATTGCTGTAATGATTAATTAATGGTGTAATTTAAATGTTTGTGTCACTTGGTAGTGAGGTTTATAATATAAATGGTATTTTTTATTAATTTGAGCAATAATATTGAAATTTTGAATAATTATATAGATTTTTGTTCTAATAAGCGCATAGAATTGTTGTATTGAATCATTGCATTTGAATAATCGTATAGAATCATAATATTGAATTATTCATGAGTAATCGTACGGAATCATTGTATTGAATTATTTATTTGTATAGTATTTCCAATGTGCAAGTAAAATTGTACTGTACATATCTTATTTTTGAATTGCTTGCTAGTAATATGTAACATCATTTCAGTAATAAGCACCTGTATGAAAAAAATATTATTTTGATGTCAACATGGCATATATGATTAATAATATGAATAGTATTATCATTAATTTAAGTAATAGTATTGAATCATTGTATATTATAGTGAATCATTGTTCTAATATTCGCATATAATCATTGTTTTGAAATCATTGCATTTTAGAAATTGTAAAGAATTAATGTTTTTATAGTGTATTTATAGTCTAAGTGCAATTATTCATTTAACTGTATTAATATCCAATTTTAATATAATAACTGTGTCTTTAGTAGTAAGCTGTAATATAAAAGTTAACAATGACATTCAGAATATTAGAGACTTATGTGAGATCTAAGTATTTTTATACTTCTCCACTATAAATTTTTTTAAGTTGGCAATGTATGAAATATAAGCATTTGTATGTTCTTGGGTTTTTGTATACTGAGTTTAAATGTTGAATTTTGCATTAGTAAATTCATGTTGACAATGTCGTCACTTATCAATCACAACAGTATAATATAATCATTATGTATGATATATCTTCTTTATGTATTGAATTGTAAACTTTATATGTAACTTGCTAAAATTACTTGCTAGGGTATTGAATTGTAATCTTATGTGTCACTTGCTAAAGTTTTGTTCATAAGTACTGTGTTCACACAGATGTAACCATTTTTAATATCTATGTTTTGTAACACTAATCAATGTGCCCTATGAGTGGATCTCGTGTGGCTCTAACATGAGTCAGCTTTAGATAAGGGTGGACGTGGCGCTAAACCAATTAACCATAATGGTAAAGGGGTGGTGCCCACGTCCTCCGTCACTAAACTATGTACTATTATTATTTCTTGAGTTCCAAATTTTTAATGGGTTGATCTGTGTTGCGCAGAAAAAAATGTTCTCTTTGCATAAATATTTAATATTTCTTCAGGCTCACCAGAAGTGAGGGGTAGATTCGCTGAGCACTGGTATTTCGATCCAGGTTCAAATCCCTGCTAACTGCATGGGCATTTCTGACTTTTCCACAAAAGCTGTTGTTGTTAATGCTCACTTGTCTGACCTATAGTCAGCCCAAGCCCACGAAAGCCATGGCAAGAAGCGCAAGTTTGCGCCTGTCGTTGGCAACAGCATTGAGCCCCTTACAAGTGACAGTGCGATTTAGCTTAGTTCCAGCTCCAATTTTGATGGAGAACACCCCGGGAGGACGGGTCCGAGGGTCTGCTATCCCTCTTTCCCTACCAGCAATCTCTCGAGAGGACTTTCGGTTAGCCGCATATTTAGAGTGCCCTATACCGCACGGACACTATATATTTACAAACATCCATGCCTTCTCCAGGAATCAAACCCAGAGAGTCGTTTACCACTATCCCGGTTGAGCGGCCTCCCACGAGTAAGGTAACTATAAGTCAGATTGTCTTAGAAAATTCTCCACGAAGGCATTCCTTCCCTTAGGTAGACAGCCCTTGCGTGGTTTGCCGTAATCAAACAAAACAAACCAGGTAAATTTGTTTCCAGCTTATCGCTTTCTTCAAAAGACATTTCTTTTAATTGCGAGCTCCAACATATATGATACACATGAACTAATGTTTTCAGATTGTACGGAGAAACTGCCATCTTGAAATATAAGAAGAAATCCTAATGCAGATTTTTAACTTAGATATTGATTATTCACAAATTTAAGTTGTATTTATCATAGCCGAAACACTGTATAAAGATTCATAATTAGTTATCAATTAGGCCTGTTATTTCATTAAAAGCATTAATGACAATATGAAAATAAATAGGCTTCTCCACTAATCTGCATATGTTTTGTATTTTAAAACAAACTGGGAAAAAATTTGATAACATTTGGTACCAAGTAAGCAATATTCTATAACATAAAGACAATAATTATAGCAGTATAAAGGCAGAATAAAGCTAAAAGAAGGAATTTTAGATCAGGAAATAAAGAATCCATTCTAAGATTGAAAGACAGTTCTCATAAAAGAAATAATATAACGAGTCAAAAGTTAAATTTAGACTGGTAAAATCATAACGATAAAATATAAGTGTGTATGTGTGTATTTAATTATGGCAAAGCACACTAGGGCTATCTGCCTAAGGGGAGGGATGCCTTTCGTGGAGGACTTTCTAAGGGAAACTGGCTCGTATACACGTTACACACGGGGAAAACCACGAAAACGCCCATGCAGCCAGCCCGTTCGCGGGATTCGAACCTCGGACCGAACTACCAGTGTTCAGCAACTTTACCGCTCGGCCGCTGGTGGGCCGATAAAATATAAGAAATAAGTTGTTTCAGCATACACTTAACAACATTCATATATCGCATCCCACGCTTTGTATCAGACATCCAGACGTCGCATTTTATTAAGTCCAGACGGTCTTTTAATAAACACGTAACGATCCTTTCTTTTTCAGTGTGATCGGGACGTTTAAAAATAATTTGCCGCCTACGGAGCTTAAAGATACAACACAATATTTCAGTATTTTACACACACTTCGCTCCACTGAAACAATTTCAGGCGTGAGAACCACTTGACTGGTGTTCTTCGGAAAATGGCTCCTTAAGGTGGCTGACCTTGTCTCCAGTTTTTGAAAACTAATCTATTTAGATTAAGATATTTACCATTTCATTATCAAAATTAAGCTATAGTTATTATTGAGGAAGTGTGTAATCTATCGCTTTTTATTTATTTATTTATTAGATGGTGTCAATAAAACGCTATTTTTAAATTCCTACTATTAGTTCACACTTTCCCTATATCTTGTTCAAACTTTCAGTTGTTAATAAAATAAATACTTTTTATTCATCCACTCAAGTTCAAATACATGTTTTTAAATTTGTAGTGGACGACACTTGATGTTAATAAAGCTGTATCAATTATGTAATTAAGTTAATCAATTATGTAATTAGCTGCATGTAATTAAATTCTTTTTTGTATTTTTAAATTCTATAGCCGCAGGAAAGAGTTTAGATTTGCAAAGAGTTTCATGAACTTTTTAATGACAATAGAATAATATTAGGAATTTTGATTTGATATTTTTATCAGTACTTTTGTTTTAATCTGTGTTGTGCTGCATTAAACACGAGGTCGATTATTAATGGCCAGGAGGGTTGCAGTACACTCGCATATTACATTACATTACTAGTATGCCAGAGTAAAAGACTCTTTTTAATGTCCAAAAACCAAATATGATGTCTTCACTACAGGAAAATCAATAATTGCAATTTGTCCTAGCAAAACGAGAACTGTTGCCTTTCGATGAGGTCTAACATCTTTAATTTATTTTAGGTTGCTCGTAAATGAACTAATTTTTAATATTTGCTTCTCACTAACATTTTGTTACAAGTGTTATTAACTTTTATATCATTAGTATAATTAACAAAATATATTTCAAACGTCATATATTATATGCCTCGATAACAAAATTTGAAATTTTGTTTCCTGCATAAATTTTTATCTGCTCCAAAATAAAACGTAATAATTATGATAACGTTCTTCGGTAACTTAAACTAAAATCGTTCATTTATTCCGTCTTTAAATTTTATGCAAACGGTTATACACTTTTTAATTATAATTTGATATTTTTCTCTTACATGACATTTTACGTCTTCAAGGAAAGAAATATAGAAACAAGAGCTCGAAGTTTTAAAATCAGCATACTTTATGAGAAACGTTTTATTTTATTTAACAAGGAAAATTTGTTTTATCAGATGGCAGCAGCACATATTGTATTTATCTTATGATGCTAATCGAAATATTTGCTTAATTTCCTGCTAATATAAATTTCAGCAAAACGTGGTTCATAAATTAAGAATTTTGTTCAGTTTTTGCTTAGTTTACG